CTATAATAAGTAAATAAAGTAACTATTGCATATAATAAGAAATAAATTTAGTAAGAATTTCACAACTTGAAAGTCATTTACTTTGTAGGGCTAAAAATAAATTCCCAAACTGACAGCATTGAAATTAATCAGGGACATTGTGGTTCCCAACAGTGAACAACTTCTCTAGACATTATTAAGCGAAACAACTCATTATTACACATGATACAAATTTATAATGATTAACAATTAAGGTTTAAGTATAGTGTTTTCCCCCAAGCACAAATGAAACTAAAGTTTGGGAAAAAAAACAAAAAAAAACAATGCTCTCACACAACTTAAATCAAAGGAAATGTGGACAATTTAATTTGATCTATACTTCTCAAGTTTAAAAAAAAAAAAAAGTGAATTCTCCCAATTTACCCCGGCAAAGTGATGGACTACAGCCTTATATTCTGTGATATACTGGGAAAGGCACTTTCTGAAAATAGACACAGAATGAAAGGCTGGCAATTATCAAAATGTCATCATTATAAAAGTTGGGCTGCAATACTTCTGTTTCCTCTCCAGTGGCTTCATAACTACTGCACTAATGCCCTAGACAGTACCGCTTTATCATCTTCCTTACGGGAAGTAAGGTAACACAAAACTCCCAGTAATAGGAGACAGTTGGCGCAGCACATGGGAGCAGGCTGTTGAGGCTTCTATTCCAAGTTCCAGTACACGATGGCTGTGTGATCTTGGGAGAATTAACCTCTCTTTCCCCAGTTTCAAGAAGGGGTTAAAAAGATGAAGTATTTCTACAAAGAACCTTTGGTTCAGAATCAGGAATTACATAACAAACTTTGTCTCATTGATTAAGTTCCAAAAGATTGAAACTACATATAAGACTATAATGACAAAACTGCTATAGTGCTTTTAGCCCTTAATAGCAATATACAAACAGGTTTATAATGTAGGTCTGTTGAACATCTTGCATTCATTTGATTTTTTTCATTGTGAATTACCCATGTCATCTGACTCATCTTGGCAAGTGTGTGGAAACGCAAGAGTATCTAAAATGCAAGTGTACTTTTATTTATTACACATACCACTAAGTTTTGAAGTTGAATATTCTTAAGGGGTAATTAGTTGTGTGGAAATAAATTTTTAGTTCTTCTTTTTGGAAGGAAAAACTGTAAGTTTCTGACCTTGTAGTTTTTCTACATTTCCCTTCCCCTCCACCTCCTTCTCTAACCACTACACCTTTAACTGCTTGTTAAAACCTAAAATCATGGCTTCTGAGTCAAAGCATCCATTAGCACTAAGATTCACATTCCATGCTTTTCCAAGGAAAGTATGTCATAGAGAAAGATGTATTTTCCTAGGTATCACGGAACATTGCATGGCATGCTTCAAATTATAGCGTATTAAAAGGTTCTCAATTGATGGAAGTCCATTCATCTCTGCCTACTACTATATGATACAACTAAAAAAAAAAACCTCTCAACTTTCAAATACAGTAAACACAGATGAGGGTACACCACAAACCATGTCATAAAACAAAGGCCATACCTTCAAGGCTTGCTGAAGTATCTGGGTGTCATTGATCCCGGTAATTTCTCTCAGTTGATTCAAAAATGTCTGCTGGTGCTAGAGGGAGGGGAAAAAGCAAATCATTATACTATGAACTTTAAGTATACAAGAAAAAATAAATACTTTTAAGTACAAAGCAGAATGAGATACTGAACAAATTTCATTCTTTAGAAAAATTGAACCCTGAGATAGACAGCCCTTACTCCATTCTCATGCTTCTAAAGCTGAAATTCGAGATGAGTCCCTGTAAGTTCCACAAAAAGCAGCATTTCCTTCCAACAGAGACCTCAGCCAGTAGACTAATCCGGCCCAGGACTACAGAGCTGGCTACTGCTGCTTCACAGGACTTTTTCTGGCTTTTTAAAGACTGTTTACAGGTGAAATGCTACACATCCCCCAGCACCTCTCTGAACAGTGCTTCACGGGGTATTCTGAAGAGAAGTCCCCTGACCTGCAGCAGACAGTGACACAGATGCAAGTGAGGCAGAGCAGGGGCACCCAGCACAGAAGGCAGAGGAAAGCAGCGCAGGCCCCAGGTACAGCAGAAACTCACCAACAGGGTCTCACTGTATAGTCCAGACTGGTCTTGAACTTGAAGCAATCCTCCTGCCCAAGTCTCCAGGTGCTGGGATTACAATGTGCACCATCTTGCTCAGCAAGGTGCAGAAGCACCAAGGTAACAGAGTGGTAAGCAGCAGAGAAAGAGCCTCTCTGAGAGTTGCTGTCCAGATGCTCGAATATAGCAACATGAGGAAGACAAGGAGAGAAGTGGGTCCCATGGACCCAGGAAGGATCTTAAGTGCAAATTAAAGCGCACAGAGAGCATAAAGAGAGAAACTTCAACAAAGAAGAAGGAGGTAGCCAGAGGTGCCTTCTCCCTGAGACAGGACTCACTGCTCAAAGAGTGGTTCAAACCTGCAGATACAGGGTAACTGTTGGCAACCCTAGAGGCCTTCAGAAAGATGCAGCTGTGGAGTGGGTGTGGCGGACGTGAAGGATTGCACTAACTGGCAGTGAGTGCCGAGGGCTCAGTAGTCTCCCAAGAGAAAGCAAGTGGCCAGAAGCCACCTTGGAGAAAAGCCAGCTGAGCGGAGAACTCAGAGCAGCTACTGGCTCCATCTAGCGGTTCCAGCTGGGCTCAGATGTGGGGAAGGTGTGCTGATGGATACAGGGTAAATGAGTCTGGCCTCAGGCAGAAGGTGCAGGCTTGCTGAGATTATCTACTACCCTACCAAAAAGCTACTGCTGGCTTGCTGGAATAAATCATCATGAATCAGGACTCTGTATGCACAGGTCGGCTACCAGTGACAGCAGAGACAAACCTGGAAGCGGACTTCTTTTTTCCCCGCACTCTCACTTTTGTTTGCTTTTCTGTTTATCTCATGTTTTTTTCTCCTTACCCCTTCATTGTTTCAATATGAGTGTGAATGTGATTTCTAGCCTCTTTGTGGTTGTTGTTCTATTCTGTTCTTCTTTTTATCTCTTCCTTCTCTTTTTCCCTTCACTCTTCTGCACCAGTTTCCCAAAGTTTGCCCTCCTTCATCCGCCAACCTTACTTCAAATCTTCTCCTCTTCTTCTACTTCCTATTTTTTTCCTAACCCCTTTTAAATTTTAATCACTGAGGGTTAAGGACTTACATACCACATATAATTTCAGGTTTGTTTTAGATTTTGCTATATAACCACAAATCTAGTTCATACACTTAAAGATGACAAATTAATGATTACCTCAGTTTGTAATTTTCTACGCTGCGTTTCATGCTATTATTACTGCTGATAGTACCACTTCAGCCAAAAGTGACAAAACTGTTCTAAACAGTTATTCCTCCTGATATTCCAAGACTGAGACTAAGGGTTATAGAAAATACTGTGATACAGGGCCAAAGAACCAGGGGCTGGGCCAACCAGGCAGCAACTTCTCATCCCCAACAAACTGAGGAGGTAGGATCTTGCAACAGAGTCAAAACCCAGATCCAGCTATACCTCGAAGATACCTTGGAGAGGTAGTCATTTCCTAAGGGTTCTAAATACTAGCAATAAAGCAA